GTATAACACCCAGTGCTCATCACATCACGTGCCCTCCTTCATGCCCATCCCCCAATTACCCCCCCCACCCCCCTCCCTTCCAGCGACCCTCAGTGTGTTTCCTACGATGAAGAGTCTCTCATGGTTTGTCTCCCTCTCTGATTTCATCTTGTTTTATTTTTTCCTCTCTTCCCCTATGGTCCTCTGTTTTGTTTCTTAAATTCCACATATCAGTAAGATTTTATGATACTTGTCTTTCTCTGACTGACTTATTTCCCTCAGCATAATACCCTCTAGTTCCATCCATGTCATTGCAAATGGCAAGATTTCATTTTTTTGATGGCTGCCTAATATTCCATTGTGTATACATATACCGCCTTTTTATTTTCTCTTAAGAAAATAAATGTCAACTGCATTTCTGGAAAAAATCTGTTCTTTCGTGGTGGACTATTATGGAAAGTCGAAACAGTAAAGGATGTCAAATCACGTTTTGTTTGAAAGACAGCTTTTAAAGAAGCACAAGGACATGGGAAATCTTCCTATTCTTTTACACTTACATGGCTCATTCTCCCATGTAAAAACAATTTTACATCATCAGGCACATGCTCCAGAGTATTTTACAAATAACTTTACATTATAAAAACTCTCAAACATGTTTTATTTTTGTTGAGAACTTAAAATATAGAGTATAGGGAGGAAAATAAAAGTTATCGGTAATCTTGAAACTGTTTTCATTTTGGCCCACTTCCTACCAGCATGACGAGTATCTCCTACCTGCCCATATACGCACGGACCTGTACTGATGGAGACCGACTCGTGCACTTAACAATATGATGATCACTCTGCAGACACAGCTTTCTGTCCTGTCTGACCCATGTAACACTGTGTCCAGGGCACTTTCTCAAGGACACTGGGTTGGATTACAAACAAATGTGGAGACGTGCATCCATGCAGGGTGGATCACTGAGCTGGAGGGCTTGGCACGAGCTGACAGGTCAAGGTTAATGCTGACGGAGTGCAGGCTGAGCAGCGGGTTAACAGCAGAGTCTAGCTCCTTCACTTGACTTTGCACTCCAGAGCAGGTGCGCAGCCGTGGATTCCCTTCCAGCGGTTCCACTGTCACTCCGACTTTTCCTCCCTCTCCTCCCAGGGCAGGGGACGGTGAGGTCGTATTTGAGGGGAAGAAGGGACAGTTGTGATTCAAGGGAAAAGGAACCATTTAAGGCCCCGCCCTTGAACAATCTCCTTTGGAAGAACACTTGCTCTCCTTAGAACACCTAGGATGTGTAAGTCTATATTTATTTGGTTTATGTTTTTCTTGGCCGAAATTGTTGGTCCTCTTATTTGCCAGCCAATAGTAAGTGACGTGTGCACAGAGAATGTTATATTCCTTGTATCGCCCCCTGAATGCACTTGCTGAGGACACCGTCTTAAGACCTAAAAACTCATATGCTGCCTCGACATCTTTGAGCCTCACAGGGCCCCCCTGCCCTTGACAGATAGCTCCCCACCTTGCAGTTCCCGGAGAAGCTGGAGCAGCTACACCACCGTCTGGTCCTCACCAGGCTTCAGCTCCCTACCAGCTGAGAGAATGATTCAAACAGGCCCCGCACGTCCTCCGCGGGCAGGAGGCCACCTTGCCTTCTTGTTACTACGAAGCCTGCCTCCTCCAGCCTGTCCTTGGTGGCTCTGCTCCTCCCCAGGCTGATGAGCGTATATGACCAATAAACTCTGCCGCACCTGCCCGGGGCCCGGTGTGTGTGCCGGGACATCTTACACTGTTTCGGGGATGGGCCCCTCCCTCACCAACGGGGTGAGCGGGCGGGGATCGGAGCGTAGCCGGTGCTCAGCTCTCCCGTGCTGTTGGCTATGAGACTGTAAGCCAGGAATGGGGATCTTCGATGCAGTTTTATTTTGACACGTTTTTTTGAAACTGAGCAATCCGGTCTCACTGAGGATTCAGGCTGAGTTGTGGTCCACAGGCAGCCATATGACCTGCTTCTGCTTTCCTCCCCAATGTGCTTTTTTCCCAATGGTACGCCACAGCCGGACATATGTGGGAGAATGGTATTTACGCAATATGGCTTTCTCTCTGAAAATTGTGGAAATTTTGCAGGGATATGTTAAACATCCAGGGAAATGTTTATACTGTTTATTGCCAGTCAGAGAGTAACGTGTCTGATATACTCTTTTAGAGACAGCTTCAGAAATCACGCGATACGAAATAGAATATGTATTTACGCAAACAGCCAGCGAACCACAGCTGCACATCCCAAACACAGCCAGCACCCTCGTGAAATGCTCACCTTTCAAGGTAGCTTTCTTAAGAACTTTCATTGCGTATAGCTGCCCAGCATCAGATCCCTTGGTCTTCCTCACCAGGAACACCTGATAAAGAGAGCACGCAACATCTGAGATTGGGAAGACTTGGAACTCATTGTCCTTATTTGATTTGACAAGGTGACATACAAGGGAGTTTAGGGGAAAAAAATCCAATAAAATAAATACGTAAAATTTCCTCCAACATCTAGGCTGCCAGGACAAATGTCATCTAACTGACTGCAACTCTGTGATGAACAGCATCACGTGAGTGTGAAGAATCATTTGTTTTTGGCACAACTAACTTTCTCCTAAACGTTTTCTAGCAGAGGTATTACCACCCTTCCGGAAGAAAAAAAAAAAAAAAAAAGACCAGTTGTTTAGAAAAACAAATAATACTCTGAAATTTTAAGGGAGATCATTTGGTTTATTCTAAATATCCCTTTGTAAGTCCTCGCTGGGAGGGCCACCATGATAGTTCCTGCCAATCACATGGAATAGACTCTGATTCTCAAGATAAACTGGGTTGTCTTATTTTGAGCTTTCCTCACCCAAATTTTAGCCTTTGAGCAGAGTTAAATTTATATAGTTTCTTTTTCTTTTCTTTTTTTTTTTTTAAAAGAGTTAGTTTCTAAATGGCTCTTAGAGACACTTGTGTGGATCTTTAATGACATTTTTAAAAAACATTTTGAGGTACAATATCAAGGAAAACCAAAAAGAAAATTGTTTGAGAAGCTGAGTGAGCTTAGGGTCACAGTCACGACTATTGAACAGAATGAGTAAATAAACACACACACACACACACACACACACACACACACACACACACACCCCTGGGGCATTGACAGTAGACGCAAAGATCCACTGGCAGGATAGAGACCGCCACGCGGATGACACTTGCTATCCAGGGCAGGGGCCACCACTAGGGTGACGGGGACCCACCCCCTCCCCAAAATGCCTGCCTCATGGACCCTCAAAGCCAGAAAGACCTGCCACTGCACATGCCTCCAGGGCTACAGCATCTTCCATGGGGGACAGAGACCAGTGTGTGGGGCCGGCGGGTGGGGCTGCAGGGTCACCCGTGGGGGACAGAGACCGACAGCCTCCCCCTTGGGGAGGAGAGCGAAGGGGAAGAAGATGTCTGAGGGCAGGTCTCCAGAGCAGAGGGTCTGCCGTCCCCGCAGGACATGGCTCGGTCTATTCTAGTGACCTGGAAGACACCACGTCCCAGCAGAGGAACGCGGGTTCACGGGGCCGGTCCTTGGATCGCCGTGTGCCCTGGAGCCCAGGCAGCTGCCTCCTGACCCTGAGCGGGTCCCGGCCCTGGGACAGCTCTTTCCCGACTGCAGCCGGCTCTCAGGTCCCAGCTCAGGGTCATTGCCGACGACCCCCTGCCTCCCCTGCACACGCAAAGCTGAGGGCAAGAGGGCCAGGCCGGCCCCCCTGGATGCTGCCTCCAGGAATGAGGGGCCCAGGCAATCACAAACAAGTAGAGGTAGGCTCACCCTTTGCTATTGGATTCGGACTATTCTGTCACTGAGCATTAATATTTATCTTTGGGGCACATTTGACATGTCTCTGTGTTGGCTGGATGCAGCAGGCTGTGGTGCAGACCCCCAGGGAGAGAGTCTGGGGTCTCTCCCTTAGCGGGCACGGCTGCACAGGACGAGACACAGGCCTGTGCGATGAGGGCTCTGCTGGGGGAACGTCCGTCTGGGGACGAGCCTCCCGATGGGCAGGCGGAGCTGCCCCCAGTTGTCAGAAGGGGCGGGGGTGCAGAGAAAAACTTTAGTGTCCGACAAGTTGAGCCGTCTGACTCATGGGAAGTCATGGGCCCTGTGGTGTGTCTGTCCACGCTGTGGTCCCCTCACGCCTCCAAGTCCTGTCCCCAGGCTGGGGCGGGCGTATGAGCGAAGGGGAGTAGCCAGGATGCAGGTGATGGGCAGCAAGCCAGTGAGCAGGTGGGAGAGGCTGGGGGCCCTCCTGAGGGGCCTGGGCCCGAGCCTCAGTGCCCAGCACCCTGGAGAGAAAGCTTTGCCCTGAAAGGCATGGGGGTAAGGGGGAGGGGTGTCTGTGGCAGGGAAGGGGCTGCTGGCTAAACAGCCGTGACTCTAGCAGAGAGGGAGTGTGACCTCTGGGGTCAGAGCACTGCAGAGCTGGAGCAAAACAGCTGAGCCCCGGCCGTGGGGCCACGGGGGAGCCAGCGTGGGCCACTGAGTCACAGTGCAGAGAAGATGCTGTGGCCCCTTGTTCAAGCCCTCTGTGCACCTCGGCTGGGGGCAGTAAACCTACTGACTCTTCACAGTGACGCCTACTGGTTAGCCCCAAGATGAGCCATTCTTAGAATCAGACGACTGGCAACAGCAATAAGACCCCTCTTCCAAAATGTGCAATATCGAAACCATCTTTTCTGCCTGCATTTTCATCCCTTTGTCTACCTGTTCTCTTGCAACATGAGGAGGGGGTGCACGACACACAGGGGAATGTGCATGAGGGCAGACATAGGAGCTCGAGGACTAGTAGAAACCCCGTCCCACTGAAGGTGACACCGGAAGCCGAGTTCATGGGGGCTGCCACCCACTAAGAGTAGTGTAAATGATGTCAGATTTTGCATGAAGCGTTGCACATCAAACCTTTTTCTCTATTGTATTTCAGGCTTTTAAAAATGAGATGACTGATAGTGATGGCAATTTATATGCATCTGTTATTAAAAGAGTGCTTTTATTTTTTAAAAGAATGGGAAGAAATTCCATTTTTGCCATGATTGCGAAGCCCCCACTATGCGTGGGGCCTGGGGGCTACGACTCGAGCAGCAGCGGGAGGGACCCCCTGGGCAAGCAGGACCCAACAGGAGGTAAACAGAGCCTTGAGGGCACGAACTTACGATGAGCGAGGAGCTGGGCTCACGAGCCACAGGCGACCACTCCCGACCACCGCCCCGCACCTCTTCCTCTGGTGCTGGACGCGCATGGTTCAGGAACACATTGGGACACAGTGAAATACGTTCTGGATAACTTCAGCAATTTCAGCACATACAGTGGCCGACCTTTCGTCTCTAGTCCAGTTTTAACGGGCTCCCCATGTTGTTCTCTACTGCTTCTTCAGCAGCTCAGCATGTGACAGGCAAGGACATTATGTGGGGACACAGAGACAGATGCTGTGTCATCCTAAATCACCCCAAATCTTCAGGTGTCATCGGAATCAGCGAAACCGCTGCCTGATTCTAGCAGTGAACTTTCTGGCTCTCAGAGCTGCAATGGCGCGATTGGTCTGCAGTGTTCTCCAACACAGGAGCCGACCAGGTGGTGGCCGTGCCCTTTCAGAGGACGTTAGGGGGACGATGTCCTCAAAAGGAAGATATTTAAAGACCCATTCTTATGTGCTACCAATTAAGTGATAGGAAAGCAGGGGCATGTTTTTATTTGGTTTGATCCCTTCTCAGAATGTGGGAATTGTAATCTGCATATTATTTTAAAGAAAAGAATGTTTCCATACAGATCCCTGGTGTTTATCCACAAGGGACACCAAGGAGCAGGCAAGGGGATGGGGAGGACGGTGATGGCATCGCTTTTGGACTCGCCTGCCTGCAGACTCTCAAGGAGCACCTGGCGTGCACCACGCACCCGAGCACCTGGTCTGCACCACGCACCCGAGCACCTGGTCTGCACCA